CTTGGCCATGAGACACAAGTGATGAGTATCATGAGATACTGAGGTTGACTCATCACTTGGCCACCACCGGGCTTGAGCCTCTTGCTCCGGCTCAGCGCTCTTGAGGTCTTGTGAGGCTTCTTTGCTGCATGAAGACATAATGGACATATTTTCCATTGACTTCGACCTCAAGTGCATCATCGCATTTGGATTTTCCATATAACTCAACGAGTTTGATCCAAATGAGATGAGCACTCTCCGGAGGTGGTTGTCCATTGAATATTGCCTCATCTTGAACCTCTGCACTCAATGTACTCAAAATGATATTAATAGCTTGAGCATTGAGTTGCACGCATATCTCTTCCTCTTTTGATAAATTCTTATAGTTGCTCCAATCAACTATAGGAAGAGATATGCTTGCAAACACAATATGCTCAACAAGAGGACTAATATCTCTAAAAGCATTGAGTACATGAATTGACCAAGGTAGAAAGTTTGAACCATTATTTTGGAGAAGCACCGGCTCCAACTCGATAGGCATCGACATCCTTTTCTCACGGCGGTGAAGCTTTAGGTGAGAACCTCGCTTTGATACCAATTGAAAGGACCTAGGATGTTGCCTAGAGGGGGGTGAATAGGCGTTTCTGAAAAATCAACACCTTTAAAAGCGGAAACGATTAGTAATAGGAGTTTCCAAAATGGAAACTCCAAATCAGAGTAATACCTCCCCTCACAAGTTAGCCACAAAGTATATAAAAGATACTAGATAAACCTAGGGAGCCAAACAGCGGCAACCAAAGAGTTGAATCAAAATGCACTAGTCTGTTAATGTCGGAAGTCCCGACGTTTGGGTCAGAACTTCGACGGGTCGGAAGTCCCGACGATTGGGTCGAAACTTCCGACGTGTCGAAGTCCCAACAGCTTTGAGTCGGAACTTCCAACGCAAACTGCCAAGATTCCGACTTCCTCACGGAAATGAACTACAAGTGCTAAGATGAACTTTGTGATGCCGATAACTTACAAACCCACTTCCTAGTGGTAAGGTAAGGTGTTGGGTCACTCTCTTGACGTTGATAAGCCACCAATCCGTAGATCGAGTCCCAAACCCTAAGAAATAGCTAGAGAGAGGGAGACAACCAAATACAAGTAATTTCGAGCAAATCACAACAACAACAAGCACACGGGAGACAAGAATTTATCCCGAGGTTCGGCAGCCCCACAAAGGAGCTCCTACGTCCTCGTTGTTGAGGTGACCACTTTGGTCGGAGTCTCTTCCACCTCCTTGCCTCACTCAAGGATACCACAAAGGTCACTTGAGTTTCTTCACTAGAAAACAAGGGTAATACAAACTTCCCAAGGCTCTTCCACAAGATGGAAGCTCTTGGGCGATGCCTAGCCGGCTAGGGGAAAATCCCCAAGAGTAACAAATGCAAATCAAACCGGCTTGACGAAGAAATCAAGTGCTCAAGCTTGCTCAAAGTGTTTTTCTCACTCAATCCACTCTCCAATCACTCAAACCCTTTGGGAATCGAAGTTGGAAGCAAAGGAGTGAAGAGAGGGGAGCCTAGAATGCTTGGGGGCTGTTTTGGGCGAGTGTTCGTTGCAATGAAATGAGTGGCCAACGGTTAGAATGAAGGAGACGGGTATATATACACCAAGGCAAAATCTAACTGTTTCGATCTACGCCGGAGTTCCGACGCAGATCTCGGACTTCCGACGTATGAAGAAAACACTGTTCATGCGAGGTCAAAGTCCACTCGAGACAGCCAACGTCGGAACTTCCGACGAACGTCGGGACTTCCGACTGTCGGAACTTCCGACGAACGTCGGGACTTCCGACGAGCACAGTCAGCAGGTCAGAGAACCATCGATGCCGGGACTCCCGGCTTGGGTCGGGACTTCCGACTGTCGGGAGTTCCGACTCACGTCGGGACTTCCGACGTCCACAGTCACCGCGCAGGCTGTGACTGGGAGTCAGCACTTCCGGCAAGAGTCATGACTTCCGACTGTCGGGAGTTCCGGCTTACGTCGGGACTTCCGACACCGACAGTCACAGAAAATTATTCTATGTGCTCGTGAAGTGCTAGAGTGTCTCTCTTTTGATTTTATTATTATGCTTGAGCACTCTATCTTCCTCATACCACCTAAACTTGCATCCCTCTTAATAGTACGGCATACCTATTAACTCAAGATCAAAAGAAAAACGAAATTAAACCTTTTGAGTTGATCTTCTTTGAAATTGATGCCGTGTCTTTCAATCTTCATCAAGTGAGGGTGCCAACATGTCAATATTGATCTTGTCACTTGAGCATAGCCATCTTGAGCACGTGACTTGATTCCATTCATCAAATATGAATAACTCCAAAAAGTATCAAGTCACTTCTATCAAACATTCCAATAGTGATTTGATCCTCCACATAAACATGGCCATCATAGCTTGATTAGTACCTCAACTAAATGCAAGTACTTCCTTCTTCACCCTAGCTAGGTTCTTCGGCCGCCAAGCCGTCGCTTGCCCTTCACCCTTGCTTAGTACCTCGAAGCCTTTCCTTGCTATCTTCACCATCTCAAGCCATCAAGTCACATCTTGTGTTGAATCATCCATTCATGTATTGTCATCTTTTTCATTTCAATTTAGCAAGCTTCAAATATGAGACCATTCCATATGCAATCCCTTATGTCTCATTAATTGACTCTTATCGTGCTTGCTTTCACATAGATCATTGAAATCCCACAATAAATAAGCATTTGCATGAATTCCATTTGCATTGTTGTCTTGTGCTTGAACTAGATTGTTTATACAACAATACATCATTTTGGCTTTATACAATTTCATCAAGTATCTGTGAGATAATCAACTTCCTGTCTAACACTTAGCAAACATGTTAGTCCTTTAATCGTGTTGTCATTCAATCATCCAAAACTCACTAAAGGGCTAGATGCACTTTCAGTTGTTGTAGAATTTTTTATTAGGCTATTCACCCCCCCTCTAGCCATTAGGACCTTTCAGCTGGAAGAACAAATTTAGGGATTGATGCTCGCCTCCCCAATCCGTTTGCATGGTCAAGATTTTTTATTGAATTGCCATTCAACAAGGCTTTGGAAATCATGGAATTTTTGAAAAACTTCTAATTTGTGATGCAAAAAATAAATCCATGTAATTTTTCTATAATCATAGATGAAACTCACATAATAATTATTGCGTCCAACAGAAGTAGGAGCAGGGCCCCAAACATCAAGGAAAACAAGATCCAAAGGACTAGTAGATACACTAGTGGATCTAGGGTAGGGCAACTGATGACTTTTGCCCTTCTGACACGCATCACAAATGATGTTTTTATTGAAATCTCTAACAAAGGGAAGCCTATGGCGATTAAGGACCTGCTAGACTACTTGAGTAGACGCATGACCTAATCTATGATGCCACAGAGAAATGGGCGGCTTGAAGGCGCCGAGAGCTTGCTTATTCTTGACCGACTTGAGAGAGTAAAGGCCTCCTTCACATCTGCCTCAAAGGAGGGTCCTGCTCGTCCCCTGTTCCTTGATAGAAAAATGATCGGGGTGAAATTCTAAAAAGGCATTGTTGTCACGAGCAAGGCGATTGACAGAAAGCAAACTTTTTGTGGCTTGTGGAACATCAAGGATGTTGTTAAGATGAATGTTACTAGTGCGGGGACGCAAAATACTAGAACCAACATGATTGATTTCCATACATGTTCCACTCACCGTGTGGACCTGATCGTGGCCTCCATACTTGTCACGGATCGTGAGCTTCTCCAGCTCACCGGTCACGTGATCTGTAGCGCCCGAGTCGACGTACCAATTGGTGTCCACCCCATAGGATGTGGTGGCCGACGAGACGCTCTTCTGAGGGGGACCCGTGAAGGAAGCATCAAAACGCTTGAAGCACTTGATCACGGTGTGGCCCTCCTTGCCACATAGCTGGCACATGATGCCTGATGGTGCGCCGCCATGGCCACCGCGGCCTCCCTTCATGCCACACCCAAAACCGCCACGGCCACCGCCGCCATGGCCCCGGGGTGTTGTTGTGGCTTGCTCCTCCTCCACGGCCGCCCTTGGCAGCCATGTTCTGCAGATGTGTGGGAGCCCCCTCCATGGAGCTCCATCCTTTGCTCAAAGCTAGTGAGCTGAGTGTACAGCTCCGCCACCGTGATTGGCTCAACCCTAGCGGTCACCGCAGAGACTACTGGATTGAAATCCAGATCCAACCCGGTGAGAATGTAAGAGACAAGCTCTTCGTCCTCAAGCTACCGTCTTGCAAGACGCCATTTCGTCCGCCAGGTCTTCATTTTGGTGAAGTAGTCCGCCACCGAAGATGTTCCCTTGGTGGCAATGGCAAGCGCCATCCTTGTGGTGATGATGCGCGCCCTCGACTGGGACGCGTGCATGGCTTCAATCGCGGCCCATGCTGCGGCCGCCGTCTTCTCCGAAGAGACATGGGAAAGGATCTCCTTCCTCAGGTTGGACAGAATGAAACTGAGGACCTGCTGGTCCTTTGCCACCCAAGTGTCGTAGTCGGGGTTGGGCTTGGGCGGCGCATCCTTGTCGTCCCCCTTGGTGGGAGCAAGGAACTCTGGCGGTTGTGGAACCACCGTGGGCTTGATGAAGCTAAAGAGCTACGCTCCCTTGATGCCGGAGAGGACTTGCACACTCCACGCTTGGTAGTTAGCACGAGCCAGCTTCTCGCTGACAGGAGAGAACCCGAAGGAGGGAACAACAGACACAGTGAAAGACGACGCCATGATCGAACTCCGCTAGGAAACGGGCTCTGAATACCATATGAAGAGAAATGAACGAGTTGCCCTCCCCGGGTCTCAGTTGCATGTTAAATAGGCCAGGAACAGCCCCCACGTGGCAATCTTGTACAACACACTTGGTTACAACAAACTCCTATCAAACTCAGATATCTATCCTATCTTTTCAAGACTTATGCTACAAGATAGACTTAGATTACAAGCTGGATAACAAACTACCTAGCGCCGATGTACATAGACACATTTCTAACAGCAGGTGCCGCTGCCGTTGCAGTGCGGGTCGGCGCTGGGCGGCGGTGGCCTGTTGGTGGCGGTGGCGCGCAGCTCGAAGGGGCCGAGGCGGTGGTCGGCGAGGCGGGTCTTGTACATGGCGGTCTTGTACTCGGCCCACGTGAACTCCCGGTACAGGCTCTGCTCCCCGTCCCGCATCACCTGCGGCAGCGGCGCGATCCGCTGCGACGGCGCCGGCCCGCCGAAGTAGATCACAGACAGCCGTGACTGCGCCCCCTCCGGCACCACCACCCGGTGCTTCACGCTCTTGAACCGCCCGTTCGTCAGGACCTGCGCATGCATCGCCGGACGGGAACGGGAGGGCATGAGCGATCGAGCTGAATGAACAATGCGCCGGCGCCGCAAACAGCCAGAGACACACACACGTCTGTGCTAGCAGGAAAATTTTTAAAAGTGACCAAAATAGTAGAGTACCTGCAGCGCGTCTCCGACGTTGACGAAGAAGGAGTCCGGGGCGGGAGGCACGGGGACCCACCTGCCGTCCCGGAGCTTGATCTGCAGGCCCGCCGTGCGGTTGGACCTGAGCACGGAGATGATCTGCGGGTCCGTGTGCTCCCCGAACCCCGTCACGCCGCAGTCCACCGGCGGCGGCAGCGGGCAGGGCGGGTAGTGGTTCACCCGCACCAGCTCATCGCTGCCTTCCCGCCCCACCACCATCGCGCGCAGCAGGGACCGGTCCACGCCCAGGCCCTCCGCTATGAGCTCCAACACCCGCCCGCACACCTCCCTCACCGCCGCCGTGTACTCCTCCAATGCCATCCTGCATGCATCCGGTCCTCTGAGTGAGTCGACTCGAGCCAGGTGTGCACGGCGAAGACGAAGCAAGAACAGCGAGCTTACCGGAGCGAGGGCGGCAGGGAGGAGATCTTGACGGTGTTGGCGCTGACGGAGAGGAGGAGGTACTCTAGCCACCCGACGTCGCCGTTGGAGCCGATGCTCTTGCTGCCGTACCCCATTTGGCGGGCGGCGCCGGACATGTCCAGCTTCTCCTGCGTGGGCAGCGCGAAGAACGCCATCGCGCGGGCCTCCAGCGCCTCGACCACGCGCGCCGGCACGCCGTGGTTGGTCGCCCTGAAGAAGCCCACGCTGCGGCACGCGTCGGCCACCGCCGCGGCCGCGCCCGGCGCCGACAGGTCCACGCACGGGATGGCCGCGCCCGCCTGCTGGCCCCCGTTGGCCCTGGGACACTGCACCAGCGGGATCTGCTCGATCGAGCTCGGCGCCGTGATCGCCACCATGGCTGCTGGTGTGGTGAGCGAGCGTATGGACTCTCGGTTAGCCGTCTGCTTGCGCGTACGTCGTGGGAGCAGGCTGAGCTCAGCTCGGCTCGTCAGCTGCTGCAGTAAGCGAAGCAGAGCAGTGCAGCTCGCGATGCTAGTCGAGACCGAGGGACTAGTAGGGAGGGGCAGGGGAGGCGCTGCACGTCTGCTGCCCTTGTGGCGATCTTTGGTGGGGCGATGGGCCTCCGATATATAGGCGCCCGCGCCAGCCGCCCAGGGCATCATCAGCTGTACTGACAAGAATTTGCAGCGCAGTGCAGGCGTAGTATCAAGGAGTTGGGCATGCACCTTAATTAACTATTTAGCTTAGGGCAACACGAGTGAGTGAGTGATACTTGGTCACTTGGAGGAGTAAGAGCTGTTTGGCGCTACACCCTACAGTGAATTCTCAACATGGTTTCTGCTTTAGTTAGTGATTAGTGAATGAAAGAGCTGATGCTGTGAACGTTAGACTCCAAAAGAGGACGTCGCCCTGTCGCTAACTGATTTGGAGGTGATCTTAGTTGATATTTTGCCCTCCAACTTTAATTTGTGGATTTATAAGCCCAATTCCAATCCCATGGGCGTTCACAGGATTCAAATCCAATGAACGATGGAGTAGTCCGGCAACTTTCTATTATTGGCAAAAAAAATTCCGCAACCTTTGTTTTTTTTAAAAGTTAGTTACTAAGTTATACACATAACATTAATACACAATTTATATTCACAACTTTAACAATGTAACATTTTGCACATAAGTTGTGTTTCATAACTTTTGTGTTTTCAAGTTTTAGCATGTGTTATAAATGAATTAGTTCCTTTGTGTTTAATAACATTTATACATAAGTTATGTTTCATAACTTTTGTCTTTCCAAGTTTATACACATAACTTTTATGCACAACTTGGACAACATAACATTTTGTGCATACTCCCTCCGTACTAAAATATTTTGCATTCTGGCATTTGAAATTTGTCTTCAAATATAGTACATTCGGGGAACAAGAAGATAATGTTTACTTAAATAAAATACGTGATTATTTTGTATAAAGAAAGTAATTCATGTACTTGCCATATTTTGTATAAGGAGACTAAGAATTCACCCTTTTAATCATGCGAAAAAAATCAGATTTAAATACGTTAGGAAGGTAAGTGAGGGGTACATGCATCTCTTGCGCTCTCCTTTATTTTGTCTGAAAATGGCGCAGAATGCGCTATATTTGAGGATGGAGGGAGTAAGTTGTATTTCATAGCTTTTGTGTTTCCAAGTTTTGGTATAAGTTATAAGTTAATTCATCCCTTTTGCGTTTCCAAGTTTTGGTATAAACTATAATTAATTTGTTTATTGTGTTTAATAACTTTTGTACATAAGTTGTGTTAACTTTTGTGTTTCCAAGTTTTGACATAATGTATAAGTTATATGTTATAAGTTAATACACATAAATTGCTACTAGAATAAAATTCTTCAAAATATATGCAAGTGGGGTCTAGTTTTGCTCGTCTCGTCACTAGAACACACCGGTGCAGACGGAATTAAAAATGGATACACCGCTCAGAAGTTATAGTAATTCTAAATAGATATTTTGCTTTTTTCTGACCAGCGTCTGGTGAAGGTGTGGGCGCATGAAGGGAGCGCGGGATGGGCGTGTTGGTGATTAGCGTAGGTGCTTTTGCGAAGTGCTTAAGTTAGTTAGACCACGCTCATATGCACTCGCTCTAAGCTTAGGCTTAGTTGCTAGTGAGGTTTGCATACCTCTTGATCAAAGGTGCTTGCGCGCACCGCATTTGTACTCGGTGGGGCTTGTAGTCTTGCGATACCACACCAACCGTATTTGTGGTGTGGTCGCCACCATGTACCGAAGGGAACAAGGCCCGCGACGTTTTAGCTCGAAGCTTGATAGTAAAGACATTGTGCAGCGGTCCGCGAGATGCTTGCCAGAAGGCTCATCAGAGACCCACTTACACGCGTGGGAAAGGCTCGAGGCTATCCACGGAGTTACCCGACCGGGAGCTTCATCCTTACGAGGGATTTCTTGCGAGGGGCTCCAACGAGGTTTGGTGTAAGCTTGAGCATTTCTCGGTACCTCGGTAAAAATACTAGAGTCTTCAATGGAAGTTTACATCTCTACCTCATTTTTAGCTTTCGCATTTATATTGCAATCTTGGTTGTGTGCTTTACCTTTCATAGCATAGTTGATAGGATTAAAACCTAGGTTGCATAACTTTTTTGCGATAGAGAGAGCAACACGCCTAGCAAAACCATAGTTGCACATTTAGATAGTTTACTTAATTGCATAGGTTTTGCTAATGTTAGAAAAAGAGGTCATAGTTTAAAAGTAGATTTTAAGTTGCCTAATTCACCCCATTCTTAGACGTTATGGTCCTTACACACTTATCGATCTAAACTCAATAATGGACACAATCTACCAGGTGATGCTTTGATCAATAATGTCTATGGGAATATGGTATCTCAACGAAAAACAACTATTTATGAAACCACTTTTCATGGTGAATCTAGCAACATCCATCATTCACTGTCAGCGGAATTTTTCCCAGCTTAATGGACAAATCTAGAAAATTTTGATTGGAAGGATTTAAAAATATTGTATGTTCTAAATTGAACCAAAAGGAGCAGGACTCAAGTTGGGATGGTTGTGGTAGATCAAACCAGAAAGGAGAGTGATGCTACATTCAAGACAATGTGATGACCTCATTGCCTTGTGAGCTCGTCAGAGCTTGCAACAGAGGAGAGGAATGGTGTCTCACTAGAGTAACGGGAGGGAAGATGAGGGAGGGATTATGGTAGGAAAAGGAAAAGTCAAGTAGTAGCGCTCGAAATTTTATTAGGTGCAAGGTTGATGCAACAATCAAGAGGAGGGGAAAAGTCTGAGTGAGATATAGCATCCCTGTTTAACAATCTTTCTAAAAAGTATGAATAACTTATTCTTTGAATGTATAAGTACATGAAAAAATTTGATTTTAAACACTTAAAATGACTTGAAGTCATCCTAGACGTTTGGGTCATAGAAAGCTAGGAAAAAAATTGAGTGGGGGACGGTCCCATGGAGCAACCATGGACGCCCCACCATAGATTTGCGACAAGTGTCCATGTGCATGCATATGACACATTTATGAAATACAAGTTTTCTTTTCAATTATTCCTCATAAGTTTAAGCAACAGTATCATTTGTTGGATGAACACGTGTCACAATTTTATGGTGGATGTCCACGGTTGCTCCATAAGGACCGTCTCCACCTAATTTTCCCCCCAAACCATAACAAGTTGGGCTTTCATCCAAATGCATAGTAGGATGGTGTCCAAAAAGTAAAGTTCATGTCCATCGAGATAGACTAATAATTAACTCCGGGTATGAATTCTGGATCTTCTAAAAAAATCCGAGTCTTCCCAAAAAGAAAAGAAAAGAAAAAGAGACATAGAATAACAGTAATAATTAACTAGCATTGTATTCTTATTAAATTGCGAAGAAAATGTTAGGAGCATAGAAGAACAAAGATCTTCTAACTACTCTCTCGGTCCTTTATTTAACTGCCGTTCTCACTTCCAAAAAATAACTTTGATTAAATTGATATGAAAAATATTAATATTTATAGTATATAATTAATATCATTAGATATATTGAATCTATTTTTATAATAAATTTATATGAAGATATAAATGTTGATAATATGCTCTAAAAATTTAGTCAAATTACGGCACGCAAACCAACAACACAGGGAGTATATTCCATTTCACAGCACAACGTAGACGTAGCAACTTGATGGCACCAACAAACTTCCCCAAACCTGGTGCTCGTCATTGTCGCACCTGGTGGTAGAGTACAAGCACGAATTGAACCCGACACAAGTACAGCACCTAGCAGACATTGCATTTTGGACTCATAAATAACAACTCCGAAACGCAGTAGCCATCTGCAATGTGAGGCCACAAACACAAGAGGCAACACAAGCGTGGCCACCACTGGCGCTGGTTACTTTGTTTAATTTCGGAAAGAGATAGCGACTTGGGCACTTCACTACACGATAAAAACGGAAAATCCTTGTCGGTATAGGAATTCTGGACGGTTTTCCAAAAACTGAGTTCTGCCGGCTGGACAAAACCCACGCTAGTGAGTCAAAATTATTGACGGCTATATTGAACCGACATGAAACAGGGAAAACCGGCAGGAACAAGCGGGTGGTTTTTCCTGACGGCATAAAAAAAACCGAGAGGAACTTCTAGCAGTCCTCTGGTACTAGTAGTGCAGTGCTCGCCCTCGTCCATGCTTTTGCCAGGATTACCACACACGATCGACTAGAGGGAAAGTATTTTTGAAATTAAATTCAATGGCGACCATTAATTTTTAGGGATTTTATGCACGAGAAAGCTCACCAGATCACTTGATCTAATAACACATGCTGTTTTAGGTTGGGGGGGGGGGGTGGGGGAGGACCATTCGTACCAGGACGTGGTGAGGACTGTACAACTGAAATGTGGGTTATGGTATCATTTTAAATGTACATGATAAATTAGTTGTCTCATGGACCAAGCGTCAGCATACATCCGCACGGTGTCGTGATAGGGATGGTCCTCACCGAATTTTTTCAACTTGGGTACCTGGAGACACTACCACATGGAAATTTGGAAAACAATATTGTAATTTCCTTTTATTCCTTTAACGGTTTTATCAAATTAATAGCGATCTTGCTGCAGCCACTGTTTTCCTTTTTTTTAGGACAATCAACTAGGCTTTATTACTCAATAACAATGTTTACAGGAATAATAGCAGCCACTGTTTTCCTGAAACAGGGCTAAACTTGTTTGGGCTAGAATGATATTAAAGGCCTTTTGCCGCAAGATATGTTACTTGGGCCAACTGCCTCTTGATGATTTTCTTAATCCAAGGGCGGTGTCCATGTCACCAGAGTAGTATCGTTTTAGGCATTTCTCTAGTATATGCAGCAGGGGTGTTTTTTTTACCCC